GGTTGGAGACCAAAAATAAGTTATAAAACAAACTTTAAGGCATGGCTATCAGTTAAAATTAGAATAAAATTAAATGAAGTAGAAGAAAAAAGTATATCTATCCATCTATAAGTAACAAGATAAATGTAAAAAAGAAAACGAGTCAGTCTGGTTTAAAACGAAATCAAAAGGTATACAATGACCCAAAATAGTTGAAAGCGAGTAAATTTAATAATTATACTTAAAATAAATAGACAATTATATTATTTTTGTAACGCATACCGGTACTTAAGCATTTTAACAATAAAGTATAATACAAACCTACAGTACCAAACCTGTTAATAGGGAACTTTCGATTGACCATGACGTAGAACGCAATGACGTCACTAAAAATCATCTGCGCATGCGAGAACGTTAAGTTCTCATCGATCACGTACACGCATGAGTGATCCATTCTATCATTCGTCGCGCAAATCGAAAGCCCCTTATTGTATTAAATAGATATAGGCCCTAATTTTAATTTTAATAGCGAAATGATTTTTCTATTGTTTCGTGTGCCTTTTTTATGTTCAAATTTAATATTTTTATAATTATTTGTAATTGATTTTGTATGTAAACATAGTGATGTTGCAAATTGCAATCTCCACTCTTGTAAGAATAGGCCTACTTAATGAACATTATTAATTCAGTTATATTCATTAAGCATTTTTACAACTGAATTAATAATATGATAAATGTTGGCAATTAAATTAGATTGGTTTAATGTTCTTAGTATAACAATTATTTATTTTCTATTGGCTTAATGATTTGATTTCTTTGTGTGTGTGTGTGTGTGTGTGTGTGTGTGTGTGTGTGTGCTTCTTCGATTTTTTTTCATTTTTTTTTTACGATTTTGTATGTAAATACACTGAGATTGCAATCTGGAATCCCCACTCTTGTAAGAATGCTTAATGACCATTATTAATTTAGGATTAATTTCTTACAACTGAATTAATTAATTAAAATGATGATAAATTTCGGCAATTGAATTATATTAAATTGGTTCAGATGGTTTAATTGAGCTTGGTATAGGCCTAATAATAATTCTACTTTTTTATTGGCGTAATTAATTGTTTTCTTTTGCTTTGTGTGCCTTTTTGCCGATTTGTATGTAAAATACAGTGATGTTAGCCCTTGGGCTTTTTAACTGCAAATTGTGTATTTGCAATAGATGAACTTAGGCCCATACACAGTGTGTATTTATTTATCCTAAAATGTTAGACATATACCAACGAGTAGCCTATTACCCTATTACCTAAACATTTTGCCTATACCTGCCTACCAAGCTGCATTATTCCAGCTTACGTGAATCACCAGTGACGCGCACGTTCTAGGCGTATTCGAAATGCGTGCGCGGTCGAAAAGTCCATAACAACGTTTGTCTTGTAACTGGAAACCTGACAACAAACCAAATTTAGAATTGACACGCTAAATAGTTGCTTAAAATATTGCTTGACAGAATTTCACTTGATTGTCAAAAATTTTAAACCTATTTTTAGTATAGAATACGTTTATTATTCGAAGAAATGTCATCATCAATTAAGGTATTTTAAAATTTTATCAACATTTATGGCGATTTTTAAAAGTTGTATTTATCTTACTATTACTATACTGGGCCAGCTTTTTCAAACAACGTACAGACTAGACACAGTGGTGGCGCCAGGATTTGCCAGACGGGGGATGGGAAATCCCATGTTCCCGGCAGACGGGCGATGTCATCAACAGGGGAGGGGGCGATGTCCCCATAAGGAAAGCCGATATTCCTCATGGTAGTTCAAATGGGCATAGAAAGGTTTCCAGGCGGGTGAAGCACTGAGAAACCATGACTGATAATTTAGGGACTTGAACAGCCCCTAGAAGAATCGTTGATCATGAGGGGGAGGGGGAGGGGTGGGCAGGTAATTATAATATTAATGTGAGACCAAATACTAGAAGGGTCTACAAACACGCACCTCAGTCCTAATGATTGGAGCTAAGGTGAAGATAATTTGTGGGCAGTGGCATATCTAGAAGTCTTGAAATGGGGGTGCTGATATGGGGCGCGAATGTGAAGTGCAGGGGTGCGGGGGCTCGATGATCAGTTGAGGGGGCGCTAATTATCAATAATATGGTGATTTTGGGTGATTTTTAACTACTTGACCGCGACTTTTGGGGTGACTACGTGAGGGGGAGGCGCAAGTAATTTTTTGGGAGCCCCCGCGCCCTCCTCTAAATACGCTACTGTTTGTGGGTGTCGCAACTCAGAAATAGCTCTTTCAGATTTGAAAAATGTTTTTAAAAGTGTCTTAATTTGATAATAAAACGTCCAATTTTCAATGTACAGTACATCTACTATTTTCTGTGATAAGTAGGCGGAAGGAGAAGTACTAGGAAAGTGTACACACACCTCAGTCCCAGCATAGTTGGGGCATAGGCGAAAAAAAAAGACTATATGGATGTAGAAATTCTAAATGCCCGCTAATAGCATTGTCAGACATAAAATGGGTCATTATATATTAGAAAATTATATAATTGATTATTTTAATCGTAATAAAATATATTTCTTTTCACAAAGTAAAGAAAAAAAAACTGTTCATCATTATATTGAAGCTTAGTGGAATAATATCATTAATGCATCATTAAACATGATTTATCAGGACCAGTACGTCCTTATACTGTAATTTGGTTTCATATCATTTATACTCAACTACTAAAATCGTGTTATTAAAATCATATTTACCTGCACCAGGCTTGATAAAGCAATTTCCAATAATCCGGTATGATACAGTATATCATGAAAACAAAGAACATTACAATAATATGTTTTTAAACATTCTTAATTATAAAACAACTTTCTTTTGGCTCTTAACCACTTTGAACAATGACCTTTAAATTGTATTTACCTTCATGGGACCAGATGGAGTAGTTTCAACTTTTTAATCCGGAATATAAAATAAAGAATTTGCCAATAAATATCTCGAAAAAATTGCTAGAAAACAACATTCATTTGGTACTCAACCAATTAATAATTGACCTTAAAATTGTATTCACCTACACCAGGGCAGATAATGCGATTTTGACGCGGCGATCCGTTAATTATGAAAAGAAGTGATAATAGAAAGCATTTATCACAAAGTTTGGAAAACAACCTTTCTTAACAATTTAAAACGTGATCTAAAAATCATAACTACCTGCAACAGGCCAGACATAGCAATTTATTACTTGATACTCAGGTGGTACAAATCATGAAAATAAAAGAAATTGACTATTATTTAGAAAGAAATCATAGCAGTTAGAAAACAACTTTCTTCGATACTCAACCACTATATTTACCTGCACCAGACCAGATTAATTTATTTCGTAATTGGTACTTGGATATTAACATGCAAATAAAAGAATAACAAAATAAATTTCTAGAAAGTGTTTTTTAATTAGAAAACTTTTTTATTTTATATTCAACCACAAATATGATGTGACCTTAAAATTGAATTTACTTACACCAGCACAGATGAAGTGATTTTGACGCGGTGATCCATATCATGAAAAAAGAAATGGATAACGGTAATAAATTTCAGAACAAATTTTGTTTTTTCAACGTGGTCTTAAAATCACATTTAGGCGTACCTGTATTGGGCCAGATGAAGCAATTTCGTACTTGGTACTCCGATGTAAATCATGAAGAAATGAAATGAACAATAAATATCTAGAAAGCAATTTTTTGGGTACTTAACCACTTAAAAAGTGACCTCAAAATTGTTCTTACCTGCACCAGGCCAGTTGAAGCGTTTTTGACGAGTTACCCCGTTAACCATAAAAAGAAAGGAATTTATATCAAATATCTAGTAAAGAACTTCCTTTTCATACTGAGCAAATAACTTATGACATTTAAGATATATTTATTAACACCACACTAGACTGAGCAATCGCACTGTACTCTGGTAGTCACAAAAATACAGAAACTGACATGTAAAAAGCATTTTTGAGAATATTAGTTAACTACTAAAAAGGTAAGCCTTACTTGCACCAAGCCAGATGAACAATTCTTGACGTAATGCTCCGAAACCATAAGGAAGAAATTGTCAAGAAATATTATCAAGAATTTATTTCTAACAATGCAAAACAATTTTGGTTTAGTTCACATATTTAAAATGTACTATAGGCCTACAGTATTTACCTGTACCAGTCCAGATGAAGTAACTCTTTTATGCAGTGCCCTGCAATTTAGCAACAAATTTTAATAAACATTCTTTAAAAATGTATTCCTCCATGGTTAAATTAAACATGTTTTTACTTTCTTATCTACAACGTAATCACGTAATTAAGTGCATTGGCCGGCCTAAATGCATTAAATTGTTAACTTGGTAGACCCACCAATCATGCAACACTCACGGAAGAAGTGAGTAATGATTTATAAACAGAAATCTCGCATTTTGGTCTTTTTGGGTTTCTAGATTGAAGACAAAATAACTTATCACTTACCTTAATTTCTACAATCTCCACCAAATAGTACCCACCGTAAGTATTGTATTCTCTTCCAAAAACTTGGAAAATCCTGAAAAATCTTCATTGGCTAACCAGTCTTCGAAAGTATCAAAGTTCATTCCATTCCCTCGTCCTGGTTTGCTCTGCAATTCTGCTCAATATTTTTATTCTAGTGAAGGCATCGCATCTCTTCTGTACAATAAAACTTTATAGCGTTTCTTTGCTCTTCAAATTGCCTGTACAGTACTTTACTTACCTCGTTCCCACAAGAAATCCGGTGACGCGCTTTCAACTGCTTCACCCGATGGTTTGAAATTATACTACAGTATTTATACTGTGTTATCTGGGGTACTATCATAAGCATAACACAGTAACCACATTGTTCTGAACATTTTCATCGACGATGTGTCCCACCATAGATAAACCTATGTCGGTACAAGTGAAAAGCACAGTATCTGAGCTTGCTGTAGTACGAATTAACTATTGTGTTTAGTTGCTGAGACGCCCAGACTGAAAAATATCTAGATTTGGTTAAGCATCTGCGTGGAAACAGAAGCAGGTATATCTTCAGTTTCTGACAAATCCTTGTTTCCAATTCCAATTGAGCTGACATCGAACATCGATGGGATCAACTCACCGGGTGATAGATATAAATCAGAACTTTCAGACGTTGATATAACATCATCAAACATCAGTGGGATTACCTCACCAGGTGATAGATTTAATGTTGAAGTTTCAGATGTTGAGCTGTCATAAAACATCGCTGGGATTACTTCACCAGGTGAGAGATATAATTCAGAACTTTCAGATGTTGAGCTGACATCAAAACTCGAAGGGATCATTTCACCGGGTGATAGATATAATGCAGAACTTTCAGATGCTGAACTGATATCAAAACTCGATGGCACTTTATCGTATGATAGATCTAATGACGAACTTTCATATGTTGAGCTGGTATCAAAGTTGGACGGGGTCACCTCACCATGCGATAGATTTGATGACGAACTTTTAGGTGTCGAGCAAGCATCAGCATTTGGTGAGATCTCCTCACCATATGATAGATTTAATGATGAAATATCAGATGTTGAGCTGGTATCAAACATTGATGGGATAAATACACCAATTGATAAATTGATTTCAGATGTTGAGCTGTCATAAAACATCGCTGGGATTACTTCACCGGGTGAGAGGTATAATTTAGAACTTTCAGATGTTGAGCTGACATCAAAACTCGAAGGGATCACTTCACCGGGTGATAGATATAATGCAGAACTTTCAGATGCTGAACTGATATCAAAACTCGATGGCACTTTATCGTATGATAGATCTAATGACGAACTTTCATATGTTGAGCTGGTATCAAAGTTCGACAGGGTCACCTCACCATGCGATAGATTTGATGACGAACTTTTAGGTGTCGAGCAAGCATCAGCATTTGGTGAGATCTCCTCACCATATGATAGATTTAAAGATGAAATTTCAGATGTTGAGCTGGTATCAAACATTGATGGGATAAATACACCAATTGATAAATTGAATTGGGAAATTATCTCAGAAGTTAAGTAGCCAGTGCCAAGATGAATCGATGTAGCCTTGGGCTGTTTGGCTGAACTTGTTGAAAAAGTTTCCGACTTTCTTGGAGTCGGGATGATCTTAGTTTTCGGAGTGGCACATTGTTTGAGGCTGCAACTTGCACAAGCTTGATGACTGGCATGATCGTCTGCAGTTAGTTTATCATCAACGATATTTCTGGTTTGTTGATTATTATCCGCGATATTATTTGTTGATGTTTCATCGTTTCTTCGAATACACAGCAGATGAAGTACTGCTGTCCACACGCGGTTGAATAGGCCTACCGATCGACGTCTGGTTTGTGGCAATGATTCTGTTTCTTGTCCAGATCTGTTCAAAGTGAAAATAAAGCATCGATATAATATGGTTAAATATTGTGAAAAACATCCGATAATACAAATATATCTAGCATTAAATAATAATAATGATGATAAGAAATAAAATTAAAAGTACTGACCCCCCTGGATTTATCAATCTCAGCTTAAGCAATGTCTTAAGTAAAAAAAGTTAAGATGTCCCTCAGGAAATATTTTAAGGTGGTATAGGCCTATCCACCAAAATCTTAGCTTAAATTCGTCTTAGATGGCGCATGCATACAATCGACTTTTTAACTTTAAGCAATTTTGAAGCTAAGCAATATTGATATATTTGACTTAAGCAAGAAATTGACTAAAGACGAATTTAAGCGGGTTTCTAGTTCATAAATTCGTCACCTGGTTTTGATAAATCATGTTTAATTATGCATTAATGATATTATTCCACTATTCTTTAGTATAAAGAAAATTTTTTTTTACTTTATGAAAAGAAATTATATATTGTATTACGATTAGGCCTACAATAATCAATAATATAATTTTAATAATGATTAATGACCCATTTCCGAGAATGCCATTTATGGGCATTTCGAATTTTTACACCCTTATGGGGGTTTTTTTCGCCTGCGCCCCAACCTGAAGTTGGTGTACACTCTCCTGGTACCTCTCTTCTCACTTAACTTTTACAAAAATACTAGATGTATGTACATTTAAAATTGAACGTTTTACTATTAAATTAAAACACTTTTAAAAACATTTTTCAAATCTGAGAGCTATTTCCTAGTTGCCACACACCCGGCCATTGTTCCTTTCACCTCAGCTCTAACCATTATTCGGACTGAGGTGAGGTGAGTGTGTTTAGTACTTGTCTCCTCTCATCCTCACCCTCACGATCAATGATTCTAGCTGCAATGGCTGTTCCCTAAATTCTGAGTTTCGTTGGTTCTTTGCCCTAGGTCCACCTCCTCTCGTTATTATAATAATATAATGACAATTTAATGGTCTTTTTTTTTAGTAATTTAACCCACTTATTGGAAATGATTTGCTGCCATGGGGTGCGTTCGCATTCTCAGCTTACCCCCCCCCCGCCGTCGGCAGGGACATGGGATTCCCTCCCCACCGTCAGGTACATCGTGGCGGCAGGACCTGTCTCTTATACACATCTAGATGTGTATAAGAGACAGGAGCGACAGTTAACAAACCAAACTTTAGACATGGTCTTAGTCTTCGCCGTAACTTCCTGTTCTTCCCAGCTTCACATCCTCTCTTTTCAGAGACGCATGCGGGGCCGCGGCTCCCCCATCCCCACTTTGTACACAGTGTTAAAATTTTAAAGCTTGTTCTTGCTAGCTAATAAAAATTCTTTCATGGGATCACTCAAAATGAATACTTCTAAACTATGTAAATATGCATCAGCACACGTTATACATATGGTATTTTTGGCCGCGCACGCATTTCGAATGCGCCTAGAATGTTATGCGCGTCATTGATGATTTGCGTCACGGTGAGCTAAGTATAGGCTTGGTATGGCTACTTGGCAACCGGGCCAATAGTATAAAAAGGAAGGTGGCCTTTTTATACTCTTTGACGTGAACACTCCTCGGTTTGCCAAGCTACGTATGTCTTGCACATTCTGTATCCAAATCGTTTCGATGCACACATTTAATGTATATGAGTTAGGATTACCAAGTATTTTCACATTAGTTAAATCGTTTCGATGCACACATTTAATGTATATGAGTTAGGATTACCAAGTATTTTCACATTAGTTATTTGCATTCATGATGTTGATAATTAAATAATAGGTAGTTAGCACCGTAGACCTAACGAAAGAGTGATCTATAATATAAATAAGATGTGTATATCGCTAATATTCATTCAAAAGAAAAGAAACCAGATATCCTATTATTTTACAGGATCATTGAAATTCGTAAATCCCATGCTAAACATAATAATAGTGACAGTTTAGTGTACTGTTTATTAATGCGAATGAAAATGATGCAAAAGAAACCTTCAGTATATAAAGGACAATGTCAGTGATTATAGTTTATTTGATTTATGTTCTCAAATGAATAATAATCGAAAATCATATAAACGGTCTACTAAATAATGAGATATTACTTAAGACAAAGTGCATGGTTGGAGACCAAAAGTAAGTTATAAAACAAATTTTAAGGCATGGCTATCAGTTAAAATTAGAATAAAATGAAATGAAGTAGTAGAAAAAAAGTATGTCTATCCTTCTATAAGTAACAAGATAAATGTAAAAAAGAAAACGGGTAAACAAGTAGTCAGTCCGGTTTAAAACGAAATCAAAAGGTACAACGACTCGAAATAGTTGAAAGCGAGTAAATTTAATAATTAAACTCAAAATAAATAGACAATTATATTATTTAACAATAAAATATAATACAAACCTACAGTACCAAACCTGTTAATAGGGAAATTTCGATTGACCATGACGTAGAACGCAATGACGTCACTAAAAATCATATGCGTATGCGAGAACGTTAAGTTCTCATCGATCACGTACACGCATGAGTGATCCATTCTATCATTCGTCGCGCAAATCGAAAGCCCCTTATTGTATTTAATATATATAATTTTACTTTTTATTGGCGAAATGATTTTTCTATTGTTTCGTGTGCCTTTTTTTAATATTCAAAATTAATTATTTTATAATTATTTGTAATCGATTTTGTATGTAAATATAGTGATGTTGCAATCTGCAATCTCCACTCTTGTAAGAATACTTAACTTAGTTATATTCATTAAGCGTTCTTACAACTGAATTAATAATAATCATAATAATAATAAATTTCGGCAATTAAATTAGATTGGTTTAATGTTCTTAGTATAACAATAATTTATTTTGTATTGGCTTAATGATTTGTGTGTGTGTGTGTGTGTGTGTGCTTCTTCGATTTTTTTAAAACGATTTTGTATGTAAATACAGTGAGTTTGCAATCTGGAATCCCCACTCTTGTAAGAATGCTTAATGACCATTATTAATTTAGGTACATTCATTTTTACAACAGAATTAATTAATAAGAATGATGATAAATTTCGGCAATTGAATTATATTAAATTGATTCAGATGGCTTAATTGAGCTTGGTATAGGCCTAATAATAATTCTACTTTTTTATTGGCGTACCGGTAATTAATTATTTTCTTTTGTTTTGTGTGCCTTTTTGATTTTCAAAATTATACTTTTATAATTATTTGTAATCGATTTGTATGTAAATACAGTGATGTTAGCCCTTGGGCTTTTTAACTGTATATATGGTGTATTTGCAATAGATGTACCTAGGCCCACAGTGTGTATTTATTTATCCTAAAATGCTAGGCATATACCAATAGTAGTCTATTACCCTATTACCTAAAGAATTTTGCCTATACCTGCCTACCAAGCATTCCAGCTTACGCGAATCACCAGTGAGGCGCACGTTCTAGTCGCATTCGAAATGCGTTCGCGGTCAAAAAGTACATAAGAACATTAATTTTTGTCTTGTCACTGGAAACTTGACAAGAAACCAATTAAAATTTTGATTGCCATAATTTCACTTGATTTAGTTGTCAGAAACGAATTTAAACCTATCTTTACGATAGAATACGTTTATTATCCGAAAAAGAATTGTCAGGATCAATTACAAGGTATTTTGAAAATCTCATCAACATTTATGGCGATTTTTAAAAGTTGTATTTATCTTACTATAATAGTTAATACTGGGCCAGCTTTTTCAAACAACGTACAGACTAGACACAGAGGTGGCGCCAGTATTTGCCAGACGGAGGGCATGGGAAATCCCGTTCCCGGCAGACAGGCGATGTCATCAACGGGAGGTGGGGGAGGGGGTGGTGGCGCCGATGTCCCCAAAAGGAAGGCCGATATTCCTCATGGTAATTCAAATGGGCCTAGAACCGTTTTCAGGCGGGCAAAGCACCGGGAAATTATTAAATCTATCACCCGGTGAAGAAATTATCCCACTGAAGTTTGATGATGTTAGTTCAACGTCTGAAAGTTTTGATTTATATCACCCGGTTAATTTTTTTGTACTTAAAAATGTAATGTTCTTGAATTAAGTTTACACCAAGACCATGCTTGGTCTTACCTTCGTGGTGTACGTCCTTTGTTTGCGAGTACTCGAGGGAAGGCAAGTTCGGAGTTAGGTACTAGTCTCGGAGTCGACTGACTCGTTACACATAGGCGTAGATCCCGGAGGGATGGGGGATATATTCCCCCCAATATTTGACAAGGGGGGGGGGTGGTCCATTCTATCATCCCCCCCCCCCAATATTTTGACTATGTATGGGATAAATTGGAGCTTTACATACTTCAAAAGACTGTCAAAGAAATAATTTGCACTGTCTTATGCGCTTACAAAGATGAAAATTAGCATAATGTATTAATGTTGATAAAATTATTTTATCTGGTACCAATCTAAGCTCTTCTTTCCTTAGATCAGTGGCGGTTCTAGGATATATTTTCTGGGTGGGGCTAAGTTGTCCGACAGAGGGGACTTGAGCTCGTAGGAACGGGGCTTAAGCCACGCCGCTGGCGCCGCCACTGCCTTGGATTTTAGATGTTCTTGCAAAGAGAGCCACATTTCACACTGCAGGGTGTGTACGACATCAGTATGTTATTCCAAGAATGTTTAAGGTTATATCGGTTGATGAGGAATTTATTGATTAGGCCTATAATAGCAAATTGCATCAATTTATTTTGCAAAAACAAGGTTTCCAGCTTCAGATGGGG